GGCAGCTTTCCAGCCACTCTTCCCCAAGCCTGTAGCGCTGCATGGGGTTGTTGTGGCTGAAGTGCAGGACCCGGCACTTGGCCTTGTTGAACCTCATACAGTTGGCCTCGGCCCATCGATCCAGCCTGTCCAGGTCCCTCTGCAGAGCCTTCCTACCCTCGAGCAGATCAACACTCCTGCCCAACTTGGTGTCACCTGCAAACTTACTGAGGGTGCACTCGATCCCCTCATCCAGATCATTGATAAAGATATTGAACAAGACCGGCCCCAAAACTGAGCCCTGGGGAACACCGCTCATGACCGGCCACCAACTGGATTTAACACCATTCACTTTAAGTAGCACAGGCTAAACAAGCACCTAAGTTAAGAGGCAGAGATGTAATTGATGATGTAACGAAGTGTTGAAACATAAATTGAATGTCAGCTATTATTCTTTTATTGCAATAGTATGCAAATGCAGTTATCACTGCATGAGAACAGAGGAAGACAGAATCAAAATGACCAAGGCAAAAACAATTCTATGGGCAAGGGTTTCCCACGCTGCTCTCGGCATTAGTTTGGATGTAAACTTGTTGGAAATGTTTCATTGGGGCAGAAAATGGAGGAATAGAAATAAAAAGAAACTGCAGAGTAGTGGAATTAAGGCCCTAGTGTTAGATCAGCTGACCTTTAACTACAGCTCTCAGTGAGCCTGGCTTCCTGCTGTCCTTTCACATCCAACTTCACTCTGTTCCAGCAGTTCCTGGTTTGAGCTTTCAGGCTACCTGCCAGGGTGCCCCTCCCCAGCCTGCCCTTCCTTTCAGGCAGGCTGACTCCACCAGAGTAAAATTGTAACTTCTTAGACAGTTTCCTGCTTGTAACTTCTTGCATCTCTCAGTTCAACAGACTCTGGTTGGTGAGTCACAGAGCAGGCGTTGCATCAGTTGGAGGGCTGCACACTGCTCAGTACTTGCTCACTTTCCATCTGCTTAAAAGTGGCTTACAAAGCAATTCCCCCTTTGTACTTTTTCTCTGATAGAGAACTGAAATTTCTTTGTATCACTGCCACTATCTTCCCCCCCTTATTTCCCGTCTGTCTACTTCAGAATATACACCACTCATTTTAAGAGAATCTTAGGTCCTCTCTGTGCTGGAAGACCATACAGCCAGAACTGATGACAAAATAATAATTGTAAAAGAGTGAATTGACTCTTTCTTGGCTTAAGAAAAAAAAAAAATTACATGCTGGGTAAAACCTGATTTGGACACTTTGATTTGATTGTTTATTGCTATTATTATGATCAATTAGGAGAAGGAAATCTAATTAAAGTGCAGCTTTGAACAACTTCATATTTTAGCTAATGTACCTTTCTGACCTCTTGGGGTTTTTTCCTTTCCTTTTTAACAAAACCAAACAATATGAGATGTGGTTTTCCTTATACTCCAGAACTGTTTTGAAAGGCTGAAAGGCACTTGCCTTAAAAACAAACAAAAAAATCTCACCGGGATCTCAGTAGGCTCTACAAGAACCATGCCCTTTTTGTTATAAAGAAATAAAAATGAACACAATTTTCTCATTTACCAGGTAGCTTTGAGAGTGCTACCCCTCAAATAGTTAATGTAAGAGTCAAAAACAAAACAAAAAACCCCAAACCAAAACAGAAAAAAAACCAAAAACCAGACCCACAAAAAACGAAACAAACAAAAGTTTAAACCCAAGGAAATGAGGAAGGGCGGCACAGGGAGTTCTCAAAAGCTTGTAGACCCCTTGAGTGCATTTAAAATAAGGTTATCATTTTCCTGTCTAATTAGAATACAATTGCAAGAGTTCTCATTCATCTGTGCTTCAGGAGTTATTTGTCTTTTTGCTCAGAGCTTTTATTTGTGAACTGGGAAAACTTTGTTTCAGAGCCTTGCTCTACTACCAGATTCTGTGTGGTCAGGAACAGGTCAATCTCTCCAGGACTCAGTTTTCAGCTGTTACATTGATGAGGAGGAGTCTGGCCTCCTAATCCTTCAGTCTTGTTTGTTTTGTTTCTAAGCCCTTCTTAGGAAGCATATCTGTCGCAGTTGGTGCAACAGCCAGTCACAAGCTGGAACACCTAGAAGCTGCAGTAATGTAATAGTGAAATGTCATCTGCCCTGTTTCTTATTGCCATTGCTGGCTTGCATGAATGGCTTGGCATGGTATATGGGGGCTCTGACTCTTACTAAAATAGTTGCTTTTTGTCTATACCAAGGAGAGAAAATGCTAACAGATCATTATCTATGCTCTGGTACAAAATTAAAGCTGCTGAAATAGCTGCAGACACAGCAGCTCAAAAGGGGGATAGCAATGAAATGAGCATACTTTTGGAATGGAATTTGGAATTGCCTGCATCTTATAAATGCTGTATGTTTGTTATTAGGAACGTGCAGCTAAACCACTGGGAAACAGGAAGGCAAGACAATGGTTTGAAATTGGACCCCCCAAATAGGGAGATTGTTTCAAAACATGTGAGACAATGCAAAGGCATTTTGCTTTGATGCTATGGTTCCCAGAGGAAACAACTGCAGGTACCAATCAGTACCTTCCTGGTAAACATTGTTGTTACTTTTGTAGTCATGGATCTGGTTTAAGGAGCAGAAGAAAATTGCAGATTCCAATCTGTAAAGAGTGGAAGCTCCATCTTGGAGATGGCTACATTCAAGGAGCAAGGTGCTTGGAACATTAGCTGGACTGGAAATGTGATCCTTGCTGTGGTTTGGCAGACATTTAGTGCCTTTTTATTTCGAAAGTGTTTGTTGGACATGGCATCTATATACAGTCTCTTGATCTGTAGAACAATTGATTCTTCTGATAGTTTTTTGCTTTTCTTTGGGTTTTGTCTTTTTCTGCTGTCCTTGACAGCGCAGTGCCTGGGGCAGAAATCACAAAACTTATTTTGATTAGGTACTAGCAAAACAGGAAAAGCTAGGGAGCTCCCGTGCTCAAGAGAAGGTGTTAAGCTTTTTCAGCAACGGAAGTGGCTTGCATGCCACCAGTACATATACTTTAAGTTGGGAATTCCTGTCCTAGAGCAGAACCACAAGCATGTGCTGTTCTCTGTCCTTCCTGGCTAGAGGAGCTGCCTTTCTGCTCTCTGGAACATCTTCTTGTATGGGAAAGGCCAGCAGATTTTCTGCACGATATTAGCATGGAAACCAGTGCAGCTGGAGGTAGCAGCACTCCAAGTCTATTCACATGATTGTACCCCGCAATGTTGAAGTGCTGTTTTCTCACTGTTACAGTAATGCTTCTGTGTTTTGTGCCTGGTTTCCTATTTTAATTTGTCTGGCTTCAGCCTTCAACACTGATTCTTCTTCTGACCTTGTCAATGATATTAAAACCCTTCAGTATTCAATATATGTACTGAAGCCTCATAATTTAAATTAGTTCTTGATCTTTTTTTGAGAATATACCTGTTACTTTGCTGACTATGCACATAAGCATGGTATCTGGTGCTGAGCTACTTCCACGACTGAAATGACTGTGGAGATTATTTCAGAGGTATAAGTAGGGTTGAGCACCCGCTTTCCCTTTCAGACTGGTTGGAATGAGATAACCTTGGCAGTCATCGCCCTACATATCTATGTATCTTCACTTCCTGGAATATCACTACCTGCTTTCTTACTCTGTAATTCTTGCAATTTTTTTTTTTACAGTGGATGATAGTACTGGAGTTATAAATTGTGTCTGCTGGAAAAATCGCATGGTAGCACAAACATCTTTATCAGGTAATTTATCAAATAAATAATTCCTCTTTTGACTGTACATTTTTGCTCATGTCTGTCTCAGGTAATTTAGTAAATAATCAAACTTGCAGAAGAGCAAATTCAACTCTTTTAATTTTAAACCATCACATCCTACAGCCTGGGCCACTTTGGGAGTTTTGTATTACTTTTTGTGTTGTGTCCAATGGTGATGCCAGTAAAACCACTACATTATGACCTGTCATGCCTTTCCCTTACCTGGGTAATACAGTATTTTAATTCTATACTGTGACATTGTTCAGAGAATCCTCTTCTTACAGTTCTTTTTGTGACTTCATCTAGTGAGGAACTAGGCTGGAAATCTGCCACATGCCACAGCATCTGTTTCCAAAGTCAATCCATTGACCAGCAACCTGGTCTACGTTCCCCACCCTTGTGATACAGTGGTTTCAGGGTTCATCTTCTCTTCTTTGTTTGCATTCATATTCTCCTCCTGCTTCTGCATATACTGTCAGTGATGAACTCGAAAGTAGCTTAAAACACAGAGGGAGGATGCTAGCAGTCTTTTATGATTTGGGAAAGTTCTAAATGTGCAGAAATTGTACATTTGAAATAAATCTATTATTGCACTTGGTAACAGAAGAACTCCCTAGTGTCTGGCTTTCTCTTTGCTTTTTCTCCCACCATTTCTCATAGACCAAAGTATGGAATACTTTCTACTTTGGACCTTCTTGAAAGCTCATGTAATAGATTGACAACCCTGATATGGAGCTGATCAAATCCTACTGAAATAAATGTTACTAGTGTCATCTGCCAGTGTTAGGGTTATATATGCACAGAATGGGGAAAGGAAAGCTGGTTGTAAAAGTTAAAAACTGATGTCTGTGGAACAAGCCCATGTATACAGACAGATAATTCATATTTATTTACATTTAACAATGATATGACAAGTGGTATAAATGATCCCAACTGGAATCTAGGAGACAGCTCTCTCTTTTAGAGAGGTGATGTTGTGGCACAGCTTTCCAAAAAAATAATGGGGACCCACAATCAAATCAGTTTTTTGGGGAACTTAAATTCATTAAAGAAATTGCATGAAATATTGCTTGAAATAGAATGAGGAGCCAGAATGCTTGTTTGAGCCTTTTGTTCTTATTTTACATGTACATCAGTAGTGCTTGAATAGACACTATGTTATTAATGGAAATTAATTCATTTGTACCTGCTAAAGAAAACAGCTTCTAGGGGGCACAGGAAACTTTCTTCCAGCCTTTTGTAATTGTGATCAGGGATACTTGGATCATTAATCAAGTTTTAAGTTATGGAGAATTTACTCTACTGCAAAGGTGTGTTACGTAAATGCGAAGTTCTGTCAAGTTGCATTCACCTCAGTGTAGACATCAAATTGCATCACATGAATACTTTGGCCCCACCTCAGATGACTCATTCTTCCTTTATGTAAAAAGTTCAACTGACCTTTTTTTTTCCCGTCTCATCCATCTTAGCATGACAAAATCAAAAAATGACAAAACCCATTTCAAATTAATGTCTCAATTTTGCAACCCATCTATGACATTTTCAGTGGTAAATCAGTATCTCCTCCCTCTTACACTTTCCCCAGGTGAACTATTTAAATAAATATAATACTGTAAACTAACTTTGACACCCCAAATTTTTGCTACCCAGGACACATGGTTCCTGGGACCTTACCCCTTTTTTAGTAATGACTCCTGTGATGCTTAGGTGTTTGGATGAATGCAAAAGGACAGTCCTCTTGGCCTTAATGCCTGATCTCCTTTCCCCTACTTCTTACAGGTCATCCAAGCACACCCAGCAGTCTTACTGTGCTTGAACAGATGAAGAAACTCCAAGAAATGGCAAGCCAGAAAATCAAGCTGGAGATCGGGGATATTATCAGGGTCAGAGGTCACATCCGAACCTACAGGCAACAAAGAGAAATTCAGGCTTCATGTTTTTGTGAGTGTTATGGATCTATATAGAACATATATATACACACATATATAACTTAATTGTCTGAATTTCTGAGAAGATCTAAGCTGTATGTAATTAATTGAATAAATTCCACTTTGTTTTCTGGCATCTCATTTTTCTAAAGAGATTTTTATCCGTATGTCTTTATTTCAGTTTTAGCAGTGTAAGGTTAGAAGACACACTACTTAATGTGTGGGATTAGATTGCCTGTAAATGAGGCATTCCTGGAAAATCTAGAAAAGATGACTAGCATGCATACAAGAATGCTATGCAGATACTGTGGTTGGGTATCTGTGAGAGTGACTTGCTCTTCGGTTTTCTTTGTGTTGAAGTAGAACAGCCAAAGCCCATGGGAAGGGAGTTGGTGACCTTTTTATGTCACGCTTCATCAAGAGCATTAGCTGCTTTGGACAAACGGTTGCCGTTTGTCACAGCCTGTATAATCCATTCCATAGGCAGACAGCAGCGTATGGGCACATTGTACCACTGAAGCCCGGGTTCTCCTAAGGTGTCTGGCTCAGCAGAATGACTGAGAAGTGTTCCTCGTCTTCAGTCACTTGGCCACAGATCTGCATGCAGGTGCTGCCCCTGCATCTGACAGCTCTTTGTGCAGCAGGGTTCTGCAGTCCACTGTTTACACCCTAGGAGCTTCCAGTTACATAATTTCTTCTCTCCTCCATGTCTGTGCTATTGTGTAAGAGTTGGTTTTCCCCAGTGAAACCTTCCAGAGACAATACTGAAATGATTCTTTTAGTGGGGGGAAGCCCATCTTTTTAAAAACCCTGTATAGCTCAGATAAAAAGTCTGTAGATTTTTCAGCTCTAGCTAAAATCTGAGAGGGGATTCAACCCTCCTTTCCAGGCAGAAGATTTATGAATATATAACCCATTCAAGGGCTCGTAATAATACCATTGTTTCATTAAAGGAGAGACACGCAATTCAAATAGCCTCTAAACTGCTTTCACTTTGGCCCAAATAAAGCTCCTTACTATGTGTTAACTTCATCTAATGGATAAAGACTGCTGAAAGGTAAAATAGCGATCATAAATTCCAGTTAAGTAAGTTGTCAGACAAAAGCATAATCTGCAGTGCACCACAACAGGTCATTTACCTCCTTGTAAACTGTAAAAGCAGGAGTGGCCTTTGTGGTTTTGTTTTTATAAAAACAACAGCAAACAAAATTTGCCAATTTAATACTGGCATGTGAAGCTCTGTTGTGCCACCTCAGGTATGCTTGCTTAAAAAATTGGTATGGCAGTTCTGGCCAAGTATGTGTGTTCTTTTTGCCGCTCCAGATAAAGTGGATGATCCTGTGTGTGATGTTCAGATTTCAAGAATGCTGGAGCTCCCCTGTCTCTATAGAGAAGTTTATGATAAACCTTTCCAAGGCCCCAAGGAGGGACAGAGGTAAATGCAGTATTCAGACTGGTCTCGGGGCAAAGTATGGGATTTTATTATTGTTTATTTGTTATTGTAATAACTGTGGAGAAAGACAGAACAGGGCCCCACTGTGATTTAGACTCTGTGCAAGCATACAGTAGCAGCCTGCTTTTCTCCCAAATAATTGATGATCCATGCAGATGAGATACCTGTCCATAATCTGAGAAAAGAAATATAATGCTGAACCAAACTGAATATTAGGAAGGTAGTAAAATACTGTGTACAGACCTCTTGCATCTAGTAAAGAAAGCTGGGGTTTGGAGCAAGATTTGGGGATGAGGTCAAGAGATTAGATGGAGGAGTGTCCTTGCCTGGTTGTGTTTTATGTGTAAGGATAAGGAGCTATTCCATTGAAAAGCCCTCAACTTCTGCTGCCTGTGTCATCGTCAAATCACAAATACATAACCTCAATAAACTGAGTCAAACACCCATTCCTATGTTCAGTTTAAGGGCAGCTGGATGTTTATTGGCAGGTCTGATGCATGTAGTGTGGTTTCAGAGATTGCAGATCTTAAAATCACAACACTGTTACAGCAAATGATTGAAGAGGAACAGTTGGATGTTTGTTGCCTATAAAAATGGTCTGTTTTAATTAAGGGTTTAAATTCAAATCCTTTAAGGACAGTGAAATAGCTTTTGACCTTTTAAAAGCAGTCTAGCAGGCTAACTTTAGGTAATTGTTCTAAAAATGCTAGTAGTATATTTCTTGCCTTTTGACATGTTCTCTCTATCCTTGTAGTGGCCTGGAGGGTCAGAATTTCTCAATCGATATGCTGCATGGGAAAGTGAAAGGCTTTCTATTAGAAAACAAAATTCAGACCTTTTACCAACAGGAGTTGGAAACAATTGATACTCTGGTGTCACTGGTTGGTGTGCATCTACCCAGTCCCAGCTGTCAGGAGGTGAGTGAATGTAACTGTTTTAAGTTTTTAGTGGGGGGGAAATAATACCATGTACTTTTTTTAGGCATAAACAACTAGATAAGAGACTGGTGCCTTCAGAGGATTCAAAAACCACAAGTGCTTTAACTTTATGCATGAATTATTTACAGAGCTTGAGGAAACCTTGTCACTTGAGACATATAAAACTGGACTGAAGAAAGCCATATGAGAAAATTCTGTTGTTAAGGTAATCTTGTATTAGGGCTGCGTAACCTTACAGTCTGCAACAGGCACTAACTTATCTAGATCTGTAAATAGTGGCAGTATCATAAAAGGAGATCCCTTTAAGGTGCTTGAGCTGTTTGGGACAGATGTTTGAGATCCTGAATTTGATCAGGAGAAGGGAGCACAAAGTCTTTGTCTTGTTTCTCATTTGAAGCTCAATATATTAATAGAGATGTAGCTTTCAAAAGGAGGTTATAATGAGTGGATGAACAGTGCTCCCTGCTATATGTTTCTCTTGTTGGAAATCTCTAGTTGTGAAAGGCCATGATTGAAAGGATCAGAAGGTGGGATTTAATTGAAATCAGTTTACATGCAGTTGCGTGTAACCAAGCTGTTAACAAACTTTCCAGTGCAATAGTATGCTCTTGGTCAACTGCAGAATGGGAAATAGAACAAAAAACATTTTGTAAGATGGCTTTATTACTCTGTGTTATTTGGATAAATTACAAAGCAGATTCTCAGCTGGTGTGAAGTGGTAAATTTCTGCAACAGTAACAGAGTTATGGCTTTTACCATGTTACCAATGGCAACTGAAACTTAAACCTGGAGCATTGTGACTCACTTGTTTACTTTTTGGTTTTCTGTAGAGAAATGAATCCATGGCAGTCATTTTCACTGCCTGATTCTGATGTGCACTGTAAAGTTAAGTGCTATGTTATGTTAACATCTGATGTTTGTTTAATTCTTTAAAAAAACAAACAACACAAAAAACAGTCCCTTGTAGATGAGGTCAAATAATAACGAAAAGTAGCTCTATTCTTGTTGGCCTCATTGAACTGCTTCTGATAGCTGCTTCTTGATAGCTGTTTCTTTTTTGTTTTGTTTTGTTTGCTTTAAAGCAAGCATTGATATAAACAATAACAGGAGCTACTCTCATTTTTGACAGAAAAGTTTGATACTAGAATATCCAACATGGGACAGGGTATTTTTTCTAAACTATCTGGAACAGTATCAAAAGTTCCCAAACACTTTACATTAAAGGAAGTAGTGGTCATTGTGACTAATACTGGAAACTTCCATTTTTGAAGTTTCAGTATTTATAGAACGATCAAGATGAATAACTTGCAAAGCCATTTAAAGTAGGAACTGGTGCAGAACAAACATAGAAAGGCACAAAAAAACCCAACCAAAAAAACCAAACCAACAAAAACAATGTAGCATCAGTGTTGTTAGCAGTCATGGGGAGCTATCATAATAATTAATAGTTGCTCCTGACCCTGATGCAAGGGTGTGAGTATATGTCCCAGGAATTTGGGCACACAGATGCTTATTTAGAAATTGCAGTTCTCCCTGTTGCCCTTTGGTATTAATTCCTTGCAAAGAGGCTTATATATCTTTGCATAAGAAAGGACCTGCAGTTGTCAAGTGACCTGAATGCCTTAAGAGGAGCACCTAGTAATGCTCTGGAAATGCATTTCGTTGTTCCTCTGCTCTGCCTCTTGAAGGTGTCACTTCTCGTAATTGGCAAAGAGTCAAGTACCCAGTTTGATCCACAAAAATAAGTGTAATAGATCTGATTTCTGTCCCTCTTCCTTTCTTTTCCCCTCTGTTGTCTTCTGTTTTGCATCGCCCTCAAACCAAAAGGATAAAGGGTGCTGCTAATGTGGAACAATGTTATTTCATGCCTATTTGGCAAGGCAGGAGCTAGATGAGTGGACCAAACTAATTAGACCACACCACAATATACACACATGTTCAGTTCTTGCACTTTTCCTGGATGTGAAAGGATGAGTTATTTGTATGTATAACTTTTTTTTTTTTAACCCTGATTCCAGTGTTCTAGAGTACAGTTGCTGTGAAATGCTCTTCTTGCCTCTCTTCCTTTCCCTGTGATCCTAGGAGATGTGGTGCACCCCCTTCATCTCCTTCCCAACTTTTAAAGTACTTGCACAGTGTTCATCATAGCGGGAGGGTATCTCTCCATGGAATATTTTCTCCAGGGAGGTGGTGAGCTGCTATGGAGTCACTGGCAGTGGAGCAGAGCAGGGGGTGAAGATGGAAGGAGGTAGCTGGGATAGCTTGAGGTAGGCAGCATCTCTCTTCCTTTTCAGCGTTACTGTACCTGAGCCCTGTCCACATCTCGTACATGCCCTGCAATGCCGAGTTCCAGTCCCAATGGCTCCTCAGCAGTGCAGTCTTCTGGCTCTCCAGAATAAATTTCCCTCTAGCAGATGCACACGGCAGAATTCAAATCATGTCCTCTGCTCAGACATATACTAGGGAACATTTAATTTTATAGTCTACAGAGGATGGGTAAGAGAATTGGAAGGCTTGGTGTTTTTAAAAATAATTAAAAATTAACAAATCTGTTACAACTTTTAAACCAGTGGAGCTTTATTTCACATAACCAGTGCCCCCTCTATCCCTAAGCTGTAGTCTTTCCCTTATCCCTTAAAACAAATGACTTTTCAGACTGGAGGGGTGAGTACCACAAGGAAGACTACAAGCAAAAAACAGAAAAAGTAACCGTGTGCTTAGGGAACCTAAAGAGCGTACTTGCTGGACTTAGGCAATTATGTTTGGCAAATGGACAAGCCTTCAGTTCCTTTTTTTAAAGAAAACTACGTGTGAACTTGATCCATCCAGTTTCTCAACTGGATTAAATATGACTTGCAACCAGCCAGTCTTGATTAACCATTTTTATGCACTTCTTCAATGCATAAGCTATAGTGTGTGCTATTTTAATATTACCATTCCAGTTTGTGTATGTCACTAGCTTGGACACATAACTTGGGTTGTGCATTCCAGACTCTGCTGTTTGTACTTCTCTTGATTTGAATATTATCTCAAGGTCAGCAATGACAAGTAGTTGAAGCAGGGAGTTTTACAGTGGTGTTCATACTTACTGTATATACCCTGTACATTGTACTGTAGGTATAACATAGTGCATTATACATTCTTGATGCTATGTGCTTCTCTTCCTGCCTTTTGAGGAAGCTTCACTGCTACTTTAAACATGTATATTGCAAAGCTTATTATAGGGCTTCAGGACTGACATGTCCAGAATCACTATTACTAAAATTGTCACCTGTCTAAGCCAAGGATTAAACATTGCATGAGAGATTGTAAAGGGCAATTTCATGAGTAGAATCACGTGTGTGGTTATACCAGGAAACTTTAACACCGTCAGGGTGTGTTGTGATTCATAATGAGCCAAAGGTTACATACTTTCAGCGTTTTGAACAGACTGACTAATTCCTGTGTCACTTAATTCTTTGACCTGTTATTGATTGTACAGAGAGTTTATCTTGTTTTAAAGATCTGAGAATAACTGGTTGTACGGCACCAGCCCACTAAGCTGTGTGAGATCCATCAGGTGGAATATATTGATTAAAATAGCAGTTTAATTCTGGAGACATGGATTCTTCTGTTGGCTTTGCTACGGAGTCCTTGCCTAGTCTTGGAAGGGAGGGTAGTGATGGTAAAATTGTTATTTAATAGCTGCT